CTTCTATTTTCTTACTAGCTCTTGTTCTTGTTTATTTCCTCTTATCTCCCTGGGGAAGTGGAACAGAATTCTTCCTCCGTAAGCTATGCGTGTTGTAAGAGGCGACTAAAATGCCAGGAGCAAGGGGCTAGTAACCCCTTCTCCTGTATATATTACTAAATATGAAAGGAGAAACTTTTGTTTTTCCTTTTGGGCCACCCCACCTCGGTGGGATACGGCTGGTGTGTTGAAAGAAAGAAAAGAAAACTTGAACATAAATCAGACATTCTACAGAGGATGAAAAAGATCAGTCTCCAAATTATTCTTAACCTGTAACCTAACAACAGGAATAAGCTCCAACAAATTACTGTTTGCAAATGATGCCAAAACAATGAGACTATATCCTGAAGAGATCAGAAGCTAGTTGCAGAATTGTAAAAATGAACCAGTTATTATTATTTTCCATAATTTAACCCATGTACAAGCCAAGTTATGAAACTGTGAAACTATGGAAAACAACCAAAAACCTCAGAATAAGCACAAAAGAAAAACACTTAAGAATAATTACTGCTCCAAACCAGTCCCCCACAGCAGAGAGAATAACACCAACAGTCAGGAATCAAGACAAATATACATTCAAAATACTTGTTACCTCGTACATGCAACACAATGTACTCTTCAGTACTCTACACTTACGGAGCCATCACCTGGTCAAACACTAAGTACAACAGGAAAATCAAAGAGGGCATCCAGACATGTGACTGACTGAAGGAAAATGAGCTATGAAAAAAGAAGGCAGGATCAAAGCCTTTATCTCTGGTAGATAAAAGAAAATGAATGATAAATTAGTCATGTGCAACATCTGGGTATCTTTACTATGTAGACATTTTTGTCATATGTTGCACATGTCTAATTTATCATCTTGTTGGTATTGTACACCACTGATTTTTTATTTTATTTATTAACACACCGGCCGATTCCCACCACTGATATACAAAGAAAAAGAATGCATATGATTAAGATACAGATGGTGTAGACAAGGATAAGGTCCTTTCTATGAATGAAGCAAGAACGAGACAGAGTAGGTGAAAATTATACAACCAAATGAGCCGTAGGTATATTAGAATAAATTTTGCAACCACCCAGGAAGGTACTACCGTCCTGCCAAGTGAGTGTAAAACGAAAGCCTGTAATTGTTTCACATGATGGTAGGATTGCTGGTTTCTTTTGTCTGTCTCATAAATATGCAAGATTACAGGTACGTCTTGCTACTTCTACTTACACTTAGGTCACACTACACATACATGTACACGTTTATTTATACACACTCATCTGAGTTTTCTTTGATTTTATCTTAATAGTTCTTGGTCTTATTACTTTTTCTTTTATATCCATGGGGAAAGTGGAATAAGATCTGTCCTCCGTAAGCCATGAGTGTTGTAAAAGTCAACTAAAATGCCGGGAACAATGGGGTAGTAACCCTTTTCCTGAAAAGATTACTTAAAAAGAATAAGAAGAAGGAAAATTGTCAAAGTGGGAAGTCTGAATGTGCGTGGATGTTGTGCAAATTATAAGGAAAGAGATGATTGTGGATGTTATGAATGAGAAGAAGCTGGATGTCCTGGCTTTAAGTGAAACAAAGCTGAAGGGGGTGGGAGAGAGTTTCAAATGGAGAAGAATAAATGGGATTAGATCAGGGGCTTCAAACAGAGTGAGAGCTAAAGAAGGAAAGTAGCAATAATGTTGAAGGATAGCTATGGCAGGAAAAGAGGACTATAAATGTATAAATACAGGGATTATGTGAGTTGTAAAAAAAGATTGGATGTGAAAGTGGGTTATAGTAAGTAAGCATGTATGCACCTGGAGAAGAGAGAAGTGTAGAGGAGAGAGGAGAGTTTTGGGAAAATGTTGAGTGAATGCATGGGGAGTTTGAATCAAGTGTGAGAGTAATGGTGGTTGTGGATTTCAATGCTTAAGTGGGTTAAAATGTTATGGAGGGGGGTGGGTGGTAGTAGGTAAATTTGGTGTAGCCAGGGAGTAAATGTAAATGGGGCGAGCCTTTAATTGAGCTATGAGTAGAAAGAGATTGGTAATAAAGTAATACATATTTTATTGAAAAAGAGGATAATAAAATATACAGGTATGATGTAGCATGTAATGAAAGTAGTTTATTACATTATAGTATTGGTGGATAAAAAGGTTTGATGGCGTAGGCTCCAGTATGTACATGTTTAATTTATAGAGGGGCAACTGATATATCGGATCATTATTAGTTTGTAGCTACAGTTAGAGTATCAGAGGTAGATGGGGATAAAGGAAGGTGGCAACAACAATAAGAGGGAGGTTGAAAGTGTATATAAAAACTAAGGGAGGAGGAAGTTCGGGTGAGATATAAGCGACAATGCAGAAAGGTTGGCTGGTGCAAAGATGAGTAGTCGGAGGGGAAAGTTGAAGGAGGGTTGGAATAGTTTTAAAAATGCAGTATTAGAAAGTGGGGCAGAAGTTTGTGGTTATAGTAGGGGGGGGGCGAAGGAAAGAGGAGTGATTTGTGGGAAATGATGAAGTATAAGGGTGTGATAAAGAGAAAAAGGTAGCTTATGAGAGGTTTTTACAAAGCAGAAGTGTTAGTAAGGAGGAGCAGAGTTTATGCGAGAAGTAAAAGAAAGGTAAAGAGAGTGGTGAGAGAGTGCAAAAAGGAGAGCAGATGATAGAGTGGGAGAGGCACTGTCAAGAAATTTTAATGAAAATAAGAAAAATTTTTGGAGTTAAACAAGTTAAGAAAGCCTAGGGAAAGTATGGATTTGTCAGTTAAAAACAGAGTGGGGGAGTTAGTAGATTGGGAGAGGGAGGTATTAGGTAGATGGCGAGAATTTTTGAGGAACTTTTAAATGTTGAGGAAGAAGGGAGGGGGTTTAATTTCATGAAATGGCCAGGGAGGTATACCATCTTTTAGGAGTGAAGAAGAGCAGAATGTAAGTGTGGGGGAGGTACGTGAGGATTACATAGAATGAAAGGGGGTTAAAGCAGCTGGAACTGATGGGATCATGACAGAAATTTTAAAAAGCAGGGAGGGATATAGTGTTGGAGTGGTTGGTACTTTTGTTAATAAAATGTATGAAAGAGGTGAAGGTACCTAGGGATTGGCGGGGGGAGGATGTAAAGTCCCTTTATATAAAGGGAAAGGGGAACAAAAGAGATTGTAAAAATTATAGAAGAATAAGTTTACTGAGTATACCAGGAAAAGTGTACGGTAGGGTTATTATTGAAAAAATTAGAGGTAAGACAGAAGTAGGATGGCAGATAAACAAGGAGGTTTCAGAGTGGGTAGGGGATGTGTAGATCAAGTGTTTACATTGAAGCATATATGTGAACAGTATTTAGGTAAAGGTAGGGAAGTTTTTATTGCATTTATGGATTTAGAAAAGGCATAGATAGAGTGGATAGAGGAGCAATGTGGAGATGTTGCAAGTATATGGAATAGTTGGTAAATTACTAAATGCTGTAAAGAGTTTTTATGAGGATAGTGAGGCTCAGGGTTTGGGTGTGTAGAAGAGAGGGGACTACTTCCGGTAAAAGTAGGTATTAGACAGGGATGTGACTGTCACCATGGTTGTTTAATATATTTTTAGATGGGGTTGTAAAAGAAGTAAATGCTAGGGTGTTCGGGAGGGGGTGGGATTAAATTATGGGGAATCAAATTCAAAATGGGAATTAACACAGTTACTTTTTGCTGATGATACTGTGCTTATGGGGAGATTCTAAAGAAAAATTGCAAAGGTTAGTGGATGAGTTTGGGAATGTGTGTAAAAAGGGAGAAAGTTGAAAGTGAACATAGAGAAGAGTAAGGTGATGAGGGTATCAAATGATTTAGATAAAGAAAAATTGGATATCAAAAATTTGGGGGGGAGAAGTATGGAAGAAGTGAATGTTTTTGATATTGGGAGTTGACGTGTCGGCGGATGGATTTATGAAGGATGAGGTTAATTTATAGAATTGATTTAAGGAAAAAAAGGTGAGTGGTGCGTTGAGGTATATGTGGAGTCAAAAAAACGTTATCTAGGGAGGCAAAGAAGGGAATGATGAATGTATAGAGTCCCAACATTTTTTAGGATTGAGCTTGGGTGGTAATGCGAAAGTGAGGAGCAGTGGGGCAGTGGATTGTCCTGTTTTTAAGGGAAATTGGGGTTTTAAATTTTATGCAAAAATTGGTGTGGAAATTGGGGAAAAGGTGTGGAATAAAAAAAAGTATTAGTCGAGGGAGAAGAGGGGTTTTTGGGGGGTTTTTGGTCATTTAAAAGGGAATGGATTGAAGTAAAATACAGGAAAGAATAAAAACTATAGGGGAAGGAAGGCGGGGTAGGGGTCGTCCTAAAAGGGGTTGGGAGAGGGAGTAAAGGAGGTTTTGTGGGGAGGGGCTTGGACTTCCAGCAAGGTGGTGAGCGTGTTGATAGGAGTGAATGGGCGTGGTACTTGGGACCTGACGATTGTTGGAGTGTGGCAGGGTAAAATTTTAGGAAGGGATTAGGGAAAAACCCGGGATTTTCTTTAAAATCGGATTGAGTTGGAAATGGGGAAATACAAAGTGCACTTTTAAAAGGGGGGTTCGGGTTTTGGCGTTTGGAGGGATATGTTGGTATCTTTATACGGGTTTTTTAAATTGTATTCTGAGCACCTCTGCAAAAAAAAGGTTTAAAGTTGGTGTGGTGAAAGTGTTGAATGTGATGAAAGTTTTTTTTTTTTGGGGATTTTTTTTCTTTTTTTGGGGGGTCACCTGCCCCGGGGGAGACGGCCCCATTGTTGAGAAAAAAAAAAAAAAGTTTAAACAATGAATGAATGAAAAATATGAGCAAAGGGGCTTCAGAAAGGGTTAAAAAATTTAAAACAGTTTTACCCAAATTACTTTTTGTCCTGTCAAAAAGGGTTTCAAGAAAACCAACAACTGCTACACTTCTCATCCCAAACTTAAATAGGAAGATTTTAAAAACGGTAATTTTTTTTACACCCCCCACCACATAACACCATCCCCCCCACACACACATACCCACACCCACACAAAGTAAGGAATCGTTCAAGATTGTACACTGTGTACATTGGGCCCATACCAGGGTATGCAGCACTAGTTTAGAACCCACACCTGGTCAAGCACGTCAAGAAATTAGACAAAGTGTAAAGGTTTGCAACAAGACTAGTTCCAGAGCTAAAGGAAATGTCCTACAAAGAAAGGTTAAGGGAAATTGGCCTGAAAACACTGGAGGACAGGAGGGTTAGGGGAGACATGGTAATGACATACAAAATACCACAAGGAATTGACAAGATGGACAGAGACAGGATGTTCCAGAGATGGGACACAGGAACAATGGGTCACAATTCAAAGTTGAAGACTCAGACGAGCCAAAAGGATCATCATCTTCTTTCAACGTACCAGCCGTATCCCACTGAGGTGGGGTGGCCCAAAAGGAAAAACGAAAGTTTCGCCTTTTAAATTTAGTAATATATACAGAAGAAGGGGCTACTAGCCCCTTGCTCCTGGCATTTTAGTCACCTCTTATGACACACATGGCTTACGGAGGAAGAATTCTGTTCCACTTCCCCATGGAGATAAGAGGAAATAGACAAGAAAAAGAACTAGAAAGAAAATAGAAGAAAACTCAGAGGGGTATGTATATATATGCTTGTACATGTATGTGTAGTGTGACCTAAGTGTAAGTAGAAGTAGCAAGACGTACCTGAAATCTTGCATGTTTATGAAACAGAAAAAAGGACACCAGCAATCCTACCATCATGTAAAACAATTACAGCCAAAAGGATATTAGCAAGTATTTCTTTAGCCATAGAGTTGTCAGGAAGTGGAATAGTCTGGGAAGTGACGCAGTGGAGGCAGGAACCATACATAGTTTTAAGATGAGATTTGATAATGCTCATGGAGCAGGGAGAGAGGACCTACTAGTGCTCAGTGAAGGAGCGGGGCCAGGAGCTATGACTCAATCCCTGCAAAAACAAACAGGTGAGTACACATACATACACACACACACATACACACGTGCACACACACACACAACACCCACATAATACACACAACACCCACATAATACACACAACACACCCACACAACACACACACACACACACAACACACACGACCCTGTACACCATGTAAGTTAGGCCTATATTGGATGCAGCACTAGTTTGGAACCCACACCTAGTAAGGAAATTAGAGAAAGTGCAAAGGTTTGTAACAAGACCAGTCCTGGAGCTAAGGGGTATGTCTTACGAGAAGAGGTTAAGGGAAATCGACCTGATCACACTGGAGGACAGGAGAGATAGGGGAGATATGATAATGACATAAAATACTGAGAGGAATCGACAAGGTGGACAGAGACAGGATGTTCCAGAGATGGGACATAGCAACAAGAGGTCACAATTGAAAGTTGAAGATTCAGATGAATCACAGGGATGTTAGGAAGTGTTTCTTCAGTCACAGAGTTGTCAGGAAGTTTAATAGTCTGGGAAGTGACGCAGTGGAGGCAGGAACCATACACAGTTTTAAGACGAGATTTGATAAAGCTCATGGAGCAGGGAGAGAGGACCTAGTAGCAGTCAGTGAAGAGGTGAGGCCAGGAGCTATGACTTGACCCCTGCAACCACAAATAGGCGAGTGCACGTGCATGTGCACGCATGCACACACACACACACCTAACCTAATTAATGAAGCAATGAATGACAACTTATCTGCAGTAATCAATGGTATGAATCCCGACATTTGTGGACTTAACAACTCTTTATTAGTTAATTACTTGCAAAAACTAGCTTCATCTGTAACTGTCATCACAATTATTATAAAAACATGAGGAGTGTTTCACATACATCTTCCTAACTCTGACAGGATATGTAGAAAATACAGAAGTAATTATCCATGAAGCCAAGGAATAAAAACTGTTCAATATTTACAAGGTTCCTCAACTCTTGAGACTTGAATTGTGAAAAATGGTCTGGTGATACCATCAAGATGTGGAAAAAGATACTTGTGTATAGTTCAAGACATTTATTAGAGGAAAGGTCTTGTCTTGAGTGGCTTCTTCAGTCCTGATGATGAAGTTACCTGTGTTGCAACATTTCCACTAGTAAATGTCCGGAGCTGTTATGTACAGTTCAGGACATATTAGGGGAAATGTCTCACAAGTGGCTTCTTCAATCCTGATGATGAAGTTACCTGTAGTGAAACATTTCCTCTAATAAATGCCTTGAACTGTACATAACAGTTTAGGACATTTATTAGAGGAAATGCTTCACTACAGGTAACTTCATCATCAGGACTGAAGGAGCCACTCATGACAAAACCTTGTCTCTAATAAATGTTTTGAGCTGTACCTAAGTGTCTTTTTCCACACTTGAATTGTTTAGCTTAATTCACTTTACTAGCTTCTGAGAATGGAGACCGGACTAAGCTCTACACCTGTGTCTGGCACGTGTTCTTCGTCACCCTTGGAGCCCTCGTGCAATAAAATATATTCTCTAGAGCTGTAACCAAACTTGACAACATCTTTTTCCAGCAACTCTACAAATCGGCGGGACTCGATTCTACGGTTATTGAGATAGGTTCCATTGGCTGATTCGAGGTCTAGAATATATGGCTTGACAGTTCGACCTGAAAAAAAAAAAAGTACATTTTTCAATATTTAAGTTAATCTGTATTGAATTTAGAATTTTTTTCTATAAGAGTTAAAGAACTGTAATGCAAGTGATATTTCTGAAACATTAAAAACTTCAAATATAGGATCATTTCACAAAAGAAGACAAAACTTAAAAGTACATGATATACATAGCACAGTAAAACATTTTTAATTAAAAAAAGTCACAACCAGGACCACTTCAAAACAGACAATTCTTTGTGATAAAAACTTCCTTGTTTACATGAATACAGTACTAAACTTTTAAGGTTATGAGCCACTGCCAACTACTAGAGCAGTTCAGTGAGACAGCCCTTAACATCTTTGTTTTGGTAATGTCACCAGCTTGCTTAAAGGTAATGTATTCCTTACATATTGACCATACAACCACATCTACATTAGTACTGTATAGGTTTACTAAAAATGTTTAAGCTCAGTTAAACATTTTAAATGTTAAATATGAACTGGATTATTGTCCTTCACTTGGGAAGTACAGTATGCAATTTCTGTATAGTAAAATCACTAATTAATGAACCCCCATTTAATGGATTTTTGAAACTATGGACTAAGAAAAATTCACTACACAAACATTGGAATCATCAGACAAAATGGAAGAAGTCCATACATTCTGGATTTTGTCTGTATTGGTAGCATCTAGTAGTCTTCTGAATCAATGGAGTCAGTCTGATGATTCTGACGTTTGTCTGGCTTGAGCCAATGTCCTTGTCCAGGACCTCTTGTTTTTGTTATTCCCAGAGCCATAGGCTGCCCACATCAGTTAACTCTCTGTGCTTGCTCATGCATACATTTGTCATTCAATCTTCAATTCTCCTTGGATTTACAAGTTTTGCGAGACTTTATTAACACATTAAAAAGTGTAAATAATACCTTCTACATGAACTGGTGGTGCCATGAGGAAACATGTAGTACTAAGCAGAAATTTGAACTAATAAGGAAGGTCAAGTCTGGCATATTAGTGCCATGGTGTTAACAGAGAATGATATAAAAGCAAAGACAAACTTGCAGACTACGCTCTTATGTTTAGTGTAAATGCTAGGCATAAAGATTCAATAGCTGGTCCTAAAAAAGTATAAGAAAACTGCACATTAAAGAAAGCTTGAAGATGCAGTGTGTAAATGGTAAGCTTAACAATGTTCTGTTGGTGTTAGTGTTTGTGGTGTTGATCTTCCCTCTGCTGCTCATAGGATAGCAAAGCATATGAATATAGAATTTCAGGCAAGTAGTGGTTGCTTTGGGATTTCTGGCAAGGCTGGTATTGCACCACAGACAAAACTGAATCTTCTTTCAACAAACCGGTCATATCCCATTGAGGCAGGGTAGCCCAAAAGGAAAAACAAAAGTTTCTCCTTTTAAATTTAGCAATATATACAGGAGAAGGGGTCACTAGCCCCCTGCTCCTGGCATTTTAGTTGCCTCTTATGACACGCATGGTGGAGGAAGAATTCTGCTCCACTTTCCCAAGGAGATGAAGAAATAAACAAGAACAAGAACTAGTAAACAGAAGAGAACCCAGAGGGGTGTGTTTTTTTTTCTTTTCAACAAACCGCCCGTATCCCACCAAGGCAGGGTGGCCCAAAAAGAAAAAGAAAAGTTTCTCTTTTTAAATTTAGTAATTTGTATAGGAGAAGGGGTTATTAGGCCCTTGCTCCCGGCATTTTAGTTGCCTCTTACAACACGCATGACTTACGGAGGAAGAATTCTGTTCCACTTCCCCATGGAGATAAGAGGAAATAAACAAGAACAAGAACTAGAAAGAAAATAGAAAACCCAGAGGGGTGTGTATATATATGCTTGTACATGTATGTGTAGTGTGACCTAAGTGTAAGCAGAAGTAGCAAGACGTATCTGAAATCTTTCATGTTTATGAGACAGAAAAAAAGACACCAGCAATCCTACCATCATGTAAAACAATTAAAGGCTTCCATTTCACACTCACTTGGCAGGATGGTAGTACCTCCCTGGACAGCTGCCATCTACCAACCTACTACCTAGGACAAAATTGAATATTAATGAGAAACCCCTTCAATCTCAACCTGTATAATGCTGATGAGACTGGTTTCTTTTGGCATTTGCTCCCTTCCAACACACTAACCTTTCAGCATGACAGAACACCAGCCCATAAGCTTAAAGATACTTTCTCAGTATTTAGGTGTCACGCAGCTCGATTGCTAGCACAGTCAGCTCCCACACTGAGGTCCGAGGATTTAGTCCCCAGTATGGCTGGAAAACATTAGGACGTGTTTCCACAAGACACCTGCCATCCCTGTTCACCCATTGGTAAAATGGGTACCTGGGTGTTAGTCGACTGGTGTGGGTTGCACCCTGCAACAAAATTTACCTAATTTCCCCAAGATGCTCTGCATAACCAGGGGTTTTCTATATAGCAGTATGTATGTCACTGATGTCAGCTAGGCCTGTGTACTTGTAGAAATAAAGATATTATTTATTTTATTATCACACTGGCCGATTCCCACCAAGGCAGGGTGGCCCGAAAAAGAAAAACTTTCACCATCATTCACTCCATCACTGTCTTGCCAGAAGGGTGCTTTACACTACAGTTTTTAAACTGCAACATTAACACCCCTCCTTCAGAGTGCAGGCACTGTACTTCCCATCTCCAGGACTCAAGTCCGGCCTGCCGGTTTCCCTGAACCCCTTCATAAATGTTACTTTGCTCACACTCCAACAGCACTTTCAAGTTTTTAAAAACCATTTGTCCTCCATTCACTCCTATCAAACACGCTCACGCATGCCTGCTGGAAGTCGAAGCCCCTCCACAAAACCTCCTTTACCCCTTCCCCCCAAACCCTTTCCTGGGCCGACCCCTCCCCCGCCTTCCTTCCACTACAGACTGATACACTCTTGAAGTTATTCTGTTTCGCTCCATTCTCTCCACATGTCCGAACCACCTCAACAACCCTTCCTCAGCCCTCTGGACAACAGTTTTGGTAATCCCGCACCTCCTCCTAACTTCCAAACTACGAATTCTCTGCATTATATTCACACCACACATTGCCCTCAGACATGACATCTCCACTGCCTCCAGCCTTCTCCTCGCTGCAACATTCATCACCCATGCTTCACACCCATATAAGAGCGTTGGTAAAACTATACTCTCATACATTCCCCTCTTTGCCTCCAAGGACAAAGTTCTTTGTCTCCACAGACTCCTAAGTGCAAAGATATTATTATTATTATTATGCTTTACTAATGCTGATGGTTTTCACCATTAGAAACTGATGGTTACAAAAAAATCAGCATGGTTTCATGCTTTAAAAGACTGCATGAGCGAGTCACCATTAAATTATTCAAAAGGCAAGAAGGCTGGTATGATAGAGATGTAATTGGATTTTTTTTTTTTTTTTTTTTTTTTTGCAGATTTCGATTCTAAAGTGTGCAAGCACCAGCTAGATCCCAAGGATGTCAAGGCTCTTTTGCTGCTTGATAATGCACTTGCTCACCTAAGGACTGAAAACTTAAGCCACACAGATAGCAAAATTAAGGCCATGTTTCTGCCCCACTAATACCCACCACCCTGATCCAACCTATGGTTCTGGGGGTTACTGCAGCCTACAAGAAGCTGTACCAGTCTAGGTACAATGATGAAGTACTAGTCGTGATTGATAAGGATGAAGAGGGTTGGAAAACTCTAACAGACATTATCAGTGAAGTTTATCTTCAACCTTCCAAAGTCAAAGGCCGTCGTTTATATACTGTCTGCTTGCTCACACACACTCTTCAAACCATACTAAAGGGTGGGGTTGAAAACCCGTGATCAGAGAGTCGCAAAATTCCAGACCAACTCTCTGATCGCGGGTTTTAACCCAACCCGTGGCATGGCTTGTTTGCAATCGTGTCATTACACTCATCACTTAGTCTCCAATTTTCCACGGATTTACAGTGTTTTATGTGGCTTTGTTAACATATCAAATAAAGTACAATTAACCATGGCTTCTAAAACAAGCAGTGGTGCCAAGAGAAACATTTGAATTGAATCTGGCAACTTGATGACATGGGTAAGTGAGGAATAAATAAGGTGTTAAGAAACAGTGTTCGAGATCTGTCATCAAAAAAAAATTTTTTTTCATTAGCAGAGCTTTACAGCTCCTCTGACTCAGAATATAAAAGTTATTCTGAGTCACCACTATTCATCATGGCACTTTACACCTCATCTTTCCACCACAAAAGGTAAATAATATTACTGTAAATTACAGTAAAATTGGTATACCGTCTTCAACTGTACGTGACAGTATTATTGTACAGTACTTTCAACTTCATTTTATTTACAATTCCTGTATAGTACTGTACCACTTTACATGTTACAATATTTTTAGTTTCCGGTAGTCTTCTGAATCAATAAATCAAGTCTGCTGATTTGGAAATTTCTTTGTGTCACGATCAAGAAAAATAAATTATATGCAGATAAGCGGCATTAATGAATATGGAGCTTAATTCTTTTCTATCTCATATGCTATACACCTTTATCTTAGATCAAACTCAGATAAATCCAATTTCTATTCTTTTACAATAAATTCTCCCAATATGCCACATCTTCAACAAATAATTATATGAAGTTTCTTATTGACTAGCTACAGTATTAATATCCTTTATTCTTTATGATCTGCTTTTCTAAATCAGAAAGAAAATATTACTGGAATATGAATTTTTAAGACACACATGAAAGTGAAGGTTAGTGAATAGTGAAAGCAAGAAGGTGTCACATTACCCTGCTATTTTAAATATTCAAAATAAACAACCAGAACTCCTGCTAATGAAAAAGCTGAACAGGCTTTCATTATCAACTTCCCAGAAATACAATTCCACACTACAGCACTTATAAAGTACTGTGTGTAATTATAGGCTTTTCTGAAAATATTGTACTATACATAAACTTTTGGATGTGAAGCTTGGGTTGTAAATGCAGTAGCGAGGAGGTGGTTGGAGGCAGTGGAGATGT